ACAAGGATGGTGACTAACAAGCCAGTGGTGATCTTCAGCCGCAGCACTTGCTGCATGAGCCACTCCATCAAGTCACTGATAAGTAGTTTTGGAGCAAATCCTACTGTGCACGAGCTAGACCAGCTTCCAAACGGGCAGCAGATAGAGAGCGCGCTGCAACAGCTGGGTTGCAGCGATGTGCCAGCCGTGTTCATAGGGCAGCAGCTCATTGGTGGCCCTAATCAGGTCATGAGCCTCCAGGTCAAGAACCAGCTCCGTACATTGCTCAAAAAGGCAGGAGCTATATGGATTTGAGTAACTTCCTTATACTCAAGTCTAATAATATATATATATATATATATCTAGAGTACTCTTTTTTGCTGAGCAGTGTAATAGTATTAACTAGGTGCCAAGGAGAGCCACTTTGTACACTGCTTTTGGGGGTTGGGAACTGGGAGGAGGCTGAATACTGGTTTCCCCTGTACTAATTAAGTGGCTGAAACTTTGTATTTTGAGCTCTTAATCTCGTGTAATATCTATTTTCTGAGCTAAATAAAGGTATACACTTCATTTAAATGGCCTAAACATTGATTAATTTATAATGGTCTACTGAAGGGAAATTCTTCAGTACAACGGGACTGCTAGGTTAGTAGTACAACTTACAAGTTTCAGGCGAGAAACAGGAAACTTTGGAATTAGCAGGTCCGGGATTAAGCTACAGTTTGAAAACTAGGAAGAAACAAGCTGCAGCTGATGAAAGAGTTCATGTTTTACATGAAATTAGTTATATCTAAGTATCTAACCATGTTTTTCTTGGGGTTGAAGAAATTTAGAGGTGTTTGGCTTAATTTCCCAAGAAATATCACCTTTCAGAATTTTGTAAAGAAATTTTGGTGTTTAGGCGCTTCAAAACTACAATAAAATAAAAATGATACTTTTAGCATTTATTTTTCCTAACATAATTTTCATCTCATAAAAATTTTTTTTTATAAGGAAAAATGTTTTCTTACAACTTTTTTTATATTGAGTTTATTTAATAACTTTCTCTACTAATTTTCTTGGTATCAATTTCTGACCAACTATAAAGTTAATAACTTAATAAAATTCTATTGTAAACTAATAACTTTTTATACAGTTCTTTTTTGATAATTTTCCCAATAAAAACTTTTGGAAAAAAGCTGGCCTCTAACCAGACACACCCTCAAAGTAATCAAAACTAGTATTTTCGCTGCATTTTGCTCTTGGAAGACAAGCAAGAATGCAGAACAATTGATGAAACCAATACAATAATATTGGAAGGTCTAAATCCG